GCAAGTCTAGAATAAAGGCCCTGGCACTGTGGTATTTGGGTGGAGAGGTCAGAAACCAGATCAGGTGTCCCAAGACCTCATACCTTTCAACTTCCCCAAGGACAAGGAATGATCTTATTCATCCCAGCATCGCCCACTACAAGGGTTCCAGCCCAGTTTAGCCTAGGTTGTCACCACTCAACAATGTCTGTCTGCATGTCACTCAGCTAACATTCTCTGCAGACTACCCAATACTGTCCCACGATGGGACAATCCTGGAAGACCACCAGGAGGTTGATGGTCAGGCAGAGCATGAAGTCAAGTTCATAGCCCAGTAGCTTTGCTAGCTTGCTGCTGGGCACACACAGATGAACCGGTTTTCCTATCAAGCATACCTATGAAGGTCATGCAGTGTGACAAATCCTATGGAACAACTAGAAGTTCTACCAATTAGAGAGTACTCCACTGAAGAGGATCATTTTCACATGCACTATCTCCTTTAGCTCCCCTACTTCCCTATTAAGACAGTTAGCATCTTTCCCATTTCACATAAGATGGTTTGGGCTCAAAATTCAAACCCTAGTGTTCTTCATCTAATATCTCAGACTTCCCTGTTCAACCCTCTAGTCGAGGCAAGTCTCCACTCCCTCCTTCCAGCTCTTAACTTCCCTGGAATCTATCTTTCACCTGAGGTGTGAGATCATGATTCGGAAACAACATACCTTGTGGATCCTTCCTCCAAGGAGACAGACTAGGCCCTCTGTCCAGCCCTCAGAGGGGGACCAGCCAATTCTGGGGGACAGTGATGGCAGTACCTTCCACCTACCTGGGTCATAGCTCAGCACCCTCACACTTGGTTCCTCTGCAGCCAGGACCTGGAACAACATGGCACGGGCAGCCTTCCCTGCACAGTACAATGCCCAACCCTTAAAGGGCTGCAGGGCACTGATGGATGAGATGTTAACCACAGTCCTGATCAAGCCAGGACAGTCCTGGAAGGCCCTCAGGAGTCCGGTGGTCAGGCAGAGCATGGAAGTCAAGTTCATAGCCCAGTAGCTGTTTGCTTCAGCTGGGTCACTCAGGTTCAGGAAGCCTTTGGAAACATCCCCAAGAGTGGCTGAAAAAACAGAGGTGGAAATAACTCAGTGAAGCACCAGGGATGTGGTTCTATGGTAGAGCACTTGCCTAGCGTGTGGGAGACTGTGGGTTCAATCCCCAGCACCAGGAGTGTGGGAAGCAAAATAACCCAGCATGGGAGGGGCTTTCTTCTCCCAGGGTCCTCCAGACACCTTTCCCATCCAGACCAAGAACAAGCATCCGCCTCGCACTTCCCAAGGCGTTTCCTGCTTCTCAAGCTCTGAAGAAAGACTAATGTGTGGAGAGAAGACCAACCACTGGAGCTGCCCACTGAGAATGCACTTGTCTTGCTCTGGGACTGGGGAGCAGGGATCTAGAGGGGAAGCTCTAGGGGTAGTTGAAGTGTATTGACTCAGGCCCTCGCTAGAGGGCGCTGCGCAAAATGTTCTGCAAAGTTCAAAAACACTTTAGAAAACTTGACTGTCCGGATAAGGACCAGGTCGAGAACCAGGTCGGTATCAGAGCACCCGGCCTTCCTCCTGTACATTTTGCTTCCATGTGCCATCGAGGCTGTGTAACAGTGGTCCACTTTATGCTTTGAATATGACCCTTGCTGCTCTGCCACTGCAACTGATTTTTTTTTTTTAATGGACATGGTTCTTTCTCTCCCTGTTCCTCCATAACCGCCACCCCCCGCAACTCCCTAATCTCAGCGGAAACAGGATTACCTTTCTTCCCCACTTTAGGCAGATTTATCTGTCCTTGACTACACACCCACCATAGAAACAAAGTAATTCAGAGTTTGGGGATGGTACCAGAAGATCTCAGAAATGACTATCCCCCAAGTTAACAAGTAAATTACAATTCCAACAGAGACCAGGAGGACTGTAGCCTTTGAATCACCTCTTTAAAAGACCCCTACTCCTACTGATGGGCAGAATCAGTCTTTGGGACAGAGACCCTGTTTCTCTTTTACTAGCAAAGCCATAAACCTTTTTCCTTTTTTCTCAAAACCATGTCCTCCTTATCAGATTGGCATGGGGACAAGGACGGAGCTTTCAGCAACACATGAAACAACCAGTCCTTTGGACTCAGCCGCCTAGTCTGCCCGCCTAGGAATCGCCCAGCGATGTGGGAAGTGAACGCTTAAATGCAGAGTCGGCCCGAGCCCCCGCGTCTCACCCGCGTTGTTTATAAGCAGCAGTCGCTGAAGCCCTTCGGGTCTGGGGAGGTCACGCAGGGCTCCAAGCAGCTGCTGAAGGCCGGCATCCGAGCCCAGGTCGGCGGGCACCCACACCACGCGCAGGCCTGGGTGCTCAGCGACCAGCTCTGCCTCCAGCTGCTTCAGCGCCTCCTCGTTGCGGGCGGTTAGGAGCAACACCGAGCCGGGGGACAGCAGCCCAGCCAGGAGCTGAGCCAGCGAGCGGCCGAAGCCGCGGGAGGCCCCGGTGAGCACGCACACCGTGCGGCCGAAGCCGCCTTCCTTGTGGCTCTCAGGCTCCATGCCACGGATCTCAGGTGCTCGACAGGGGATCCGAGACCCTTAAGGCCCGGGGCGGGGCGGGGCGGTGGGAGGAGCTGTCCAGCGGGGTGGGGGGCGGAAGCTAAGGTTTCAGGCGCCCGGTGCTAGAACAGTTTCCCTAGGTCGCTGGTACCAGAAGTGAAGTGGGAGTGCAGGTTTGACCGGAGTCTGCGCAATTAGGTAAATAGGAAGGGCAGGGAAGTGGCCCCGAACTATTGGCGGTGTTCCCAGCTCGCCAAACCGCTAAACCACCTGCTAGCACAGGGCTGTGGGATTGCCTTCCAGCTCAGACCCAGTTCCTTACACTCCTGACCTCCTCCAGTGAAGGTTGTCTTGCTCCTTGCCCCCTAGTGACCAGCCCTGAAGGAAGCCCATGCCTTGTAGGGCCAGGGTACCTGCTGGGCTTAGAGAATAAACCACCCTGTCTGTGAAGAGCAGGCAGTGCCCAGCTCTGAGTTACTCCCTGGTGTATAAAACAGAAGTTTTCAGGCGCTGCCTAAACTTGAGTTTCTCCGTTTTGTATAGCAGTAGTCAGTAATGAGCTCCCCATTTTAAGTTCAAGCGCCAAGGTAGAATGGCTCTAGACCTTGTTTGTACAAGTATACAACCACCATCTGCCCAGAACAACCTTAAGGTACAAGTTGGTAAATAACTTATATGCGCAAACTAAATCAAGGAGTAGCTGGATACATGGACATCCCAAATCATATGAGGAACACCAAACACAGGAGAGAATCAACCTCATCCGGTGCAAACCCCTCACCTATAAAAGATCAGTAAAAGGAGGAATGCTCTGAGACTGGACACAGCAGTACCCTGACCCTGTCAGCCTTGCCCAGGAAAATCAGCATAGCAATGAACCTCTCTGCTCAGATTTCAGCAGAGCATGTTTTCTCCTGCTCCTGATGACCATGCAAATCTCACTTCCCAAATCCTGAAACTAAAACTACTGTCCTTCATTCTTTGGAACCCTCTGCTTTGACAACTCTACAGCACTGGTTCATTAAAATCCTTCTCTGATATTGGCCTCATAGAATGAGTTTGGAAGTGTTCCCTCTTTTTCTATTTCATGAAATAATTTGAGGAGTGTTGGTATTAGTTCTTCTTTAAAGGTCTTGTAGAACTCAGCTGTGTATCCATCCGCTCCTTTCTTGATTGGTAATCTTCTGATGGCTTCTTCTATTTCCTTGCTTGAAATTGTTCTGTTTACATCATGTATATCATCCTGGTTCAGTTTGGGCAAAACATGTGACTCTTGAAATTTGTTGATGCCTTTTTTTTTTCTATTTTATTGGAGCATAAATTTTCAAAATAATTTCTAATTATCTTCTGTATTTCTGTGGTGTCGTGATTATTTCCTTTTTCATCACAGATATTAGTAATTTGAGTTTTCTCTCTCCTTCTCTTTGTTAACATGGCTAAAGGTTTATCAGTTTTATTTATTTATTTATTCTTTGCAGGTAAATGGATGGAGTTGGAGACTATAATGCTAACTGAAGTAAGCCAATCCCCAAAATCCAAATGTCAAATGTCTTCTCTGATCTAAGGATGCTTATTCATAATGGGGATGGGGCAGGGAGCAGGGGAGGAATAGATGAACTTTAGATACAGCAAAGCAGGGAGAGGGGGTTGTGGCTTAGCAGTAGAGAGCTTGCCTAGCACATGCGAGGCTCTGGGTTGATCCTCAGCATCACATAAAAATAAATAAATAAAATAAAAGTATTTTTTTAAAAAAAGATAGGGCAAAAGGAAGGGAGGGAAAGGTGGGGATGGGGGTAGGAAAGACGGTGGAATGAGATGAACATCATTACCCTAAGTACGTATATGAAAGCACGAATGGTGTGATTGTACTTTGTGTTCAACCAGAGACATGAAAAGCTTTGCTCTATTTGTGTAATATGAATTGAATTGCATTCTGCTGTCATATGTAACTAATAAGAACAAATAAAATAATTTTTAAAAACCCTTCTCTGACCACCTACAGTGACTCTTTGACTCTGGGTTCATCTCTTGTGCTCTTGGCTCAGCATCCTGTAACCCTGTGGCCTTCTCAACACTTTCTGTCACCTATGTGTACATCATCGTGTGAAGTATGACATTAGAAATCATGATTTTGATACCGGTGATGAAAATTCATCAGGGCCAAGTTCCATTCCCCTAGATGTGAAGATTCAATACTGAAGAATTGCTAAGGCAAGCACAGAAAGCAGGTTTTATTGAAAGGATAGAACAGAGATAGACTTCTCCCAGGAGAAGGGGTCCCAGAGCTGGGTGTGTAAGGAAATGGTGGGGGGACATCCTGCCCCTTTTGTACATTTTAGATTTCCTTTGTTCTCATGACCTCTTCTCCCATCCTGCCTACATGGCTAAAAGGTGGGCCAAAGGTATAATGATTCAGGCAGAAAGGGAATGGCGTAGGAGACATTATTTCATTTGTTATTTCACAAATCCTAGTAGGGAGGAACAATTCTCAGGAGGCAGATATTCTTGGCAACAGGTAGAGGAGGGGGATGTGTCCTGAAAGTATTAACATTTTATTTCCTGCTGAATCAGCCCCCATTTCCTGGATGGGACCCAATTATGTATTACTTACACTGTCTTTTTGTCCCCCATCCTCAATTGGATTAAAAGAATTTATGTTTTCCCAGCTTATGACTACTAGGTGACACACAGTATTCAGAGAACTGCCATAGATGAAAATGGTGTATCCTTTGAATTTATTGTTATTCAACAAATTGTGACATTGTGGAAAGACACAAATGTGTTTGTTTCAATGTTAATGAAGTAGCTCTTTCAGGATAGCTCTTTCAGGATAGAGCTGCCACAGGGCTCCTCCAAATTGTTGTGTGTGTGTGTTTGTGTGTGTATTTGTTTTTTTTTTTTTTTTGCACTGGGTTCTTCTTATTATTTTTTTTATAATAATAAAAATAAATAATAAATGCTGAGGGCATTGCTAAGCTGCAGCTGCTGGCCTGGAACTTGTGATTCTCCTGTCTCAACCTCCTGAGTCACTGGGATTATAGGTGTGCACCACAGCACAGGCTTTCTTCCTGTATTAAGTAAGTTCTGAGCAACTCTGACACCTATTACCCCTGATTCTCTGTGGTTTCTGGCTCCTCCTATCCCTTGGTGTCATTGCCCCTGAGAGTTTGCCTCTAAAGAAATTTAATACCTTTCCCCTGTTCTCTGGGCCTTAGAAAACAGGATGGTGAAAGCACAATCTCATCCATGAATTCATTGGACATTTATGGAACTCTTGTTATGTGCTAGGATCTGAAGAAAAAGAGAGAACAATGAAGAGATGGATGAAAATCAGAAATTGACTCTGGAAATTGTTGCTTCTGTAAGGAGCCATTTAGGAAGAGCC